GTAACCGTTCTACCAATTTGTACCAAACTCGGTATGGTTATTGTACTTGCCACGTGTAAGCAAAACGTTGAAAATTATTGAAATCGGACTAAAATAACGGCCGATTCTCATATAACGGTAAATTTAAGAAATGCTTGAAACTTCAATATTTCGAAATTGAAGGACGCTAATTTACTCAAAATAGATACACCTCGGCTTACCATCTAGCGGGAGGTTTCGGAAGGGTGGAAAACATATATTTAATACTTGTGCCGGGTATTTAATGTTCGGCTCCGCCCGAACTTAGACTTTCTTACTTGTTTTGTTTAATTTCTTATTTCTTAAATTTTATAATTTTCTTATTATTTTTTTATTTATGTACATATGTATGTATCAGTATTTTTTAATTTACTTTATTTAATTTTTTTTTATTTATTAAATTTTTTCAATTTTACATTTTTTACATTTGTTATTATTTTTATTTTTTATTTTTATTTAATTTATTTGTTATATTTTTTTTATTTTTATTTTTTATAATTTTTTAATTTATTTATTTTATTTGTATTTATTTACTATTTTTTTTATTGCACGTGAAATATTCGTCAAATGTGGAAATTATAAAACAAAACTTTGTTAGGTCAACATTTTCCAATCCATTTTGCCGGGAGAAACCGTTACTTTAGAAGTATGTCGCGGCTATCCTTTGCCATTCGATCCCAATGACCCGAACACAGAAGTGGTCACGACTATAGCTGTGGACGGAATGAGTGTTGCAGCGACAGACAAACAGCGACGGATGTTGCTGGATCTGCACATGGATGGAAATTACAATTTTCTTGATAATAGTGGTGGAGGGGAGGGCGCTTCAAAAGCCCATTCGTACAATCACATACGTAGTCAGCACTCACCTGCCTCTGGCGGCTTGAATGATGGCTTCATATTAATGAAAAAGCCAGAGCCGCAAGTGCATACGTTTGCCATTGTAAAGGGATCCATGGGGTTCGGCTTTACCATTGCCGACTCCGCTTACGGACAGAAGGTGAAGAAGATCCTTGACTACAATTCTTGCACTCAACTGCAAGAAGGCGATGTTCTATTCGAGATCAACGGCGTCGATGTGCGCCAACAGAGTCATCTCGAAGTTGTGCAAATACTGAAGGATTGCTCGAAAACCGAACCTACCAATGTCAAAATTCAACGTGGCGGTCCATCCAACAACAGTGCCAGAGCGTCGCCATCCGGCGCCATATATAGTACCGTTACAAGTAACCCACCACCTACCAGCACCTCAAATAGTAACCAAGGGAATGTCGCAAAACTACGTAAAAACTTCACTTCGGCACTATTTCGCAGCAAGACACCGACCGCAGATCTCTACAGCACTCAGCAAAAGGAGATTCTACCGGTACGCCCTAAAACGCCATTGGTAGATACGCGGCGCACACGAGCGCAGACACCTAATGATGAGATCCAACATGGTAAAGATATCAACGATGGCACTTCTTTGGGAAAAGACGATGGTAGATTGTCGACAAGTAAAACCCAATTGGAGTCGGGTACACTCAAATCAACAAGTAGTCTTCAAGAGATCGAAGCAATCAGTCAAGAGATACCGTTTTTGGATCCGTACCCGAAATTAGTCACCAGTCTTAGTGAGAGATTGGCTGGAGCATCGCTTCTCTCAGAAATTACCGGAAATACTGGCTCTAATGGTGCTAGTGCAGGCTACCACCACTCCGGGGGACTCTCACTGCCGCCCAGTGTTGGTGACTCAATGCGTTACGATCACCAAGAGTACGTAACAGCTGGCGTGCGTGGTGGCAATGTGATCTACGGCATTTCACCACATCCTTCCAGTATGAATAATTTCTATGCGACGCAACAGTTGCCCACACCTCCTCATCTGAATATATCTGCTAGCAGCTATTCGCCATCCACATCGCTCAGTCTGACAACAACTTCTGCCACACAGCATCATCATCCACTCCAATTGCCGCCACCACCACCGCCCCATCCACACCCCCACATATCACAGTACTCGCCCGTACCGTTGCATGCTACAACACCTCTGCAGGCGGCACACATACAAAATGAACGTATGCAGAAGCGTGTAAATGAGCTTTTAAGCGATCGTCGTCGTGTTGGCTTTTCCGCGCTCGATGTACTGCAAGCGCAAAAGCATCCGCCTGCGATGTATGGTCATCACCAACTGCTGCAACAGCCTCCAATGCACCAGCAACATTCTCCTGCTGTTAGCAGCGTTTCGCAACAAGCACCGATCTCCTGGCTGGGAGCCGGAGTTTACCCTAACACTTCACAAGCATCTCCTGGTGGTAATTTGCCGTACATGCAACGTAACGGTGGTGCGCTGGATACTCGGGATGAGTTGTCTACGGATCAGTATGAGCTGAGCGAGGTTACACTGGAGCGGCAGGCCCTAGGCTTTGGGTTCCGCATTGTCGGCGGCACAGAAGAGGGCTCACAAGTGACAGTGGGTCACGTTGTGCCAGGCGGAGCTGCGGATAATGATCACCGTATTAATACTGGCGATGAGATACTCAGCATAGATGGAATCAATGTGGTAAGTAGTGTGGTATGATATGCTGTGTGTTGCTTTGTATTTTTTTTACAATTTGATTGATTGTAAAGGTAAATTCGTCGCATCACAAAGTGGTTTCACTGATGGGCGAGGCGGCACTGCGCGGTCAAGTAACGATGATATTACGTCGTCGATTAATATTATCACAGCAGCCGCACCTGATGCATACACAACAGCACCAACAACAACAACAGTTGCCCTTGCCCTTGGCGCCGCCGACGGCGTTAGCTGTGCCTTTACGAAACGCGTTTCGCTACCCATATGACGTAATAGTTGGCCGACATGAGTCCGAAGGCTTCGGTTTTGTAATAATTTCATCTTCGAATCAGTTTTATGGTTCCACAATCGGTAAGTTAGAAATTTTTTTTTCTCATATACAAAACACCGAAAGTTTTGAAACTAAAAAAATATTTTCTTCCGACTTTAGGCCTTAAATTTACGCCTTTAACATAGTTTATTCTCTTAAACCTAGACTAGTCTTCCAACTGAATAAGTTTTATTAGGCTGTGTTATTACTATCGTATAAGAGAAACGACTACATTCAAGAAAAAGAAGGTTGCTACTATCAGGCTGTGAAGGTGCTCTTTTGTGCTAATCTGAAACTGAAATTAATTTTATGTGGGAAATCTGTACATATCTGGTTTCAAAACCGCTAGTTTGTAATTTGAAAACTGTAAAACTTAGATATCAAACTAGTCGTGACTTTTGTCAAAAATTTGGCATTTGCGTTCTTTTATAATCTCTATACATAGCGTTAAAATAACATACCACAAGCGTAGGCGATGAGGAATTAATTCGAAGTGATTGAATCGGTGACTGAATGCTCATCTGGCCGAATACACGAATTTTTCGATTCCTCGACGTTCTCAGGAATTGAAATTGTTTTTCCACCAACTTTAACGAATTTTGCATTTGTATAAAGTCCAGATTTCATAGCAACTGAACCAAATTTTGCGCTGCTCAATCTAAACCCCGTGCTTTTCCTCTCTATACCAATACTGCTATGCTTGTACGTTGAAGTCCGTCTCGGTGGCATCGAATTGATTCCAATTTATTAGTAGGATAGAAAAGTAGCTTTTAGTCCAAGGTGTGGAAATGAGACAGCCTTGTAATAATCGACTTCCCATTCAGCCTCATTGCGAGAGTCGTGTCGAATGCAAGTCGTTTTTCGAGAGTCGAATCGTATCGAAAATTTCATGTCATTGCCTAAAATTTCGACTGCATTAGAACGGAAAAACTTGGCAGCACAGCATAGTTTTCGACGATCTTCGTCGTTTAGTTATTTCAGCACGTCAGTACACAATTTACGACTTACGCAATGAGGCGGATTATCTATCTGAAAAAGCGGGTCGAAGGCTAGAGATTAAAGGTAGCAGCAACAAGAGTCGAGTAAATTTTTACGATCCCTTAATCTGAAAAAGTCCAATATTTTATTTTTCTTTTAATCTTCTCTTTTAATTTGTGATTTTGCATCTTTTGTTTATTATTATTCACCGACTTAAAAAAAGGTGGATGTTATCAATTCGTCGGAATATTTTTCTATGTATGTTACCGCATAACTTTAACCTATTTCTATAATTTTCTTTTAAGGAAAGGTGGTACCTCAGAGGTGGTCCCATACTAATTTGATTTAGATCCGATCATTGGATCATGAAGAAACTAACGGTAGTCTTAAATTTTTATATGAGAATTGAAGCCGGTTTTGTTTTTGCGTGTTTTTATTTTATTTTATTCTACTATTAATATTCAACAATTTTATTGAGCTTGACACCGTTTTTTTTACGAAAAATTATTGTGGAGAAACAACAACAGTTTTTAAAAAAGGTAGAAGTTTTAGCAGCTATTTCAGAGATCACCACATCTCATTAGACTTCCCCGTCGAGTTTACTGGGACTTGGATTTTTCAATTTAAATTGTTATTAGGCAAGAAAACAAACAAAATTTGTATATTTAATATTTTCAATTGTTTTTCGATTTTGTGTTTAGCTTTTTTTGGTTGATACATTTTTTTTGTTGATTCGTTTATGTTTATTAATGTTATTTGTTTATAACTGTTTGTTGTTTCTTGTTTGTACATATGTATGTATGTGTTTTTCTTTTTAATTTATGGTTTCTTAGGATTTTTGTTTCCTTACATACATTTTTGTTTTTTTTTGTGTGGCTTTTTCTGTTCTTTTTTTAATTAATGCAGATATTAAAACTACAACCGCAGTTTTATCCTTCGATAACCCAACTAATTTTATATGATTTAAAAATTCTTTTTATTTTTGTCTACAGGCAAATTGATACCTGGCAGTCCTGCCGATCGCTGTGGTGAATTAAAAGTAGGTGATCGTATTATCGCTGTGAACCGCATTGATATTGCCGGCATGTCACATGGTGATGTGGTCAATCTCATAAAGGAATCCGGTCTCCATGTACGTCTTACAATCGGTTGCCCGAAAGACACATTGCAGACACCAACAACTACCGGTGGCACATCGACATCAGCTCTACTCACCAACTCTGCACAAGTGTCACCAGGTCAGCTATCTCAAACACAACTCTTGTATACACCTTTAGCAACACAACAACATAAACCACGCACATCGCCAAACTTTTTGCCCAGCAACGATGGCAGTGGTCCTTCCTACTTTGTTGAAAACCCTAGAACAAGTGCGGCAGCTATCTTACCGCAACAATCTCCACAACTACAACAGCAACAACATCATCAACAGCAGCAACAGCAGTTAGCACAACATTTATGACTTTGAGACTTTCAAATAAGACTCTATAAAAGCTTCCTTTAACGTAGGAACGCTCTTTATGCACACATAAAAAATACGAATGACATTTCTTAGGTGAATCGGATTTATTAACCCACTACAAAAAGGAAGATTTTATCAATTCCTCGGAATATTTATGTTTTTGTATGTATGTTGCCTGATAACTTTGGGCCACGTGAACCGTCTTTGGTTCAATTCCATAGATCGGATCATGAAGAAATTAACTGTACCCTTAAATTTCTATATGAGCATTGAAGCTGTTTTTTTTGGCTTAAAAGTTACTTGTTTATGATAAACATTTGTATGCAGGCAAGGCACTTGAAACAGGTAATAACTGTACTCCTAAATTTTTATATGATGCTTAAAAATTACATATACTTACTTATATATACATGTACGCGAATCAGAGTCCTATGGAAAAATGATGTAAATTTTTATTGCGTTTCTAATATGAAATATCCCGGTTCACAGTGCGGCCAAAATTCGAAACTTTGAAGAAATGATTCGAAATTTCGTACAAGGGGGTTTTCGGGGTCACTTCCCAATAATCATTAAGGTGAACGGTCGAAAATGGCCTTCGATATCCGTGGCAGATTTTATTCGGTAGGTAATACTTTTCTAAGTTACCTCCAATAGGTTTAAAGGCAGCATCCGACAGCGTGTTATTACTCAAGTTTTTTAAAGGACAAAAATTTCTACTTCTAAAAAATTTCTGTTATGGTGTTGATATTAATTTTTTTTTTTTACTTATTTTACTAGCCTTCAGACGTAGATTCCATTTTGTTTTGTTGCATTTCCTTTACTCAAAGTCGTTTCAGACGTTTATATTTTTTCCCTTTAAATCTACCATAATGTTATGATTGGGCAAAGACCACATTCCGACTGAAAATAAAGAATCCCTTGGGTTACAGCCCGTTACTGTGAACGGTGTTCGCTTCTTAGATAATCCCTTTAGCCAACTTAATGATGAAAAAGCCCTGTCTAGAAACATTTTTTTTTTAATTTTGGCCGCACTTGTGCCCACTTGGACCCACTTGCAAATGTAATGCTTGGGAATGCAAAAAGTAGGGGATAGCTCCTATAACTTATGCACGAAAAGATGCAAGAGTTTCTGTACAGAAGGTCATACCACATAAATAGAAGAAAAAAATTAAGAAAAAATAAAGTTCGTGGCGTAGGTTTTGAATCCGCGACCAACAAGTTGGCTTACTATACATTATTACTTACTATACATTATCCGTTCGCTTACATTGCGATGCATCTTTTCGTTCAACCGTAGTTGTTAATCTTTTCTTGGTAGAAAAAGGTAATGCATTCCCATTTTCCCACTGGGATTTGTCCTTATTATACATACATAATTACATATTTGCAAACAATAACGTAAAGAGGTTGCGTTTATGTTGAAAACATTGGTGGGGTTGTGCCAACGATTCCAACACCATCTTTTGAAAATAATAAATACATATTTACATACAGATGCAGATGAAACTCAATTTCTGGTTTTCAATTTTTCTTTCTCAATAGGGCGTTATAAACCTATTAGCATTATTTTTACAAAAATGTCCCAAAGACTGAAATTAGCCGTGTGCGCTTTTATGTATATTGCGTGTTAAGCCACAAAACCAATATTTTTAAATCTACACTTTACAATTTAGTATTCTTTTTTATGAATGCACAAATTGGTTATTATTTTGGAAAGCAAAACTTAATGTTAAAATTTTGTTTATTCCATCGTGTACAATCTTATTACATTGCAGTTATATGTAGTAGCATTTATATACAGCATATCTTAAAATAAGTTAAAAAAAAAATATATTTGTATTAAAACTATTTCAAAGTTCTATGCATATTCATTTGATGCTCTTTTTGAATAACGTTCTTCAATTAGCATAGTAATTTTTTGCCTTAAATGTTAGTCTTTTAGATGCAATCATATTTATATATTTATTACATAAGTACAGTCAACATTATTCTAATGAATTTACATTTTCGCTCAAATGTTGTTGCACATGTACATTATAAAGCATGTTATAGTCTTAAGTCCCCAGTGTACTTATAGTTAAGTTAATAATAATAAAATTTACGTTGATAATATTTTGTTCTGAGATTTACACATAATTTAAACTGTTATATACACACATAAATAAAGTAAGGAAATAGCCTAGGACTATTCTTAGCACGGTCTTATAATGAAAATTAAATATTGCACTGAAATTTATTGAAAATTAATATTTATACACAAGTATACATAATCATCGCAATTAAGTTTTTATTAATTTGAATATTGTAATGAAAATGAAATGTACTTCAAAACTTTTTGTATGAAAATAAAATAGAGCAAAAGGAGTTTTATGACATATAACCTATTGCCCGTATTATTCTTAATGCCTTTTTGGTAGCAATTCAGCTACCGAGCTGATGTTACGGTGGGCTTTAATCTTTCCAGGTTTTATAATTTTAAAATTGTGGTTCTTGTTGCTGCGGCTAGTTACGCCTGCTTAGATCAAATAACACTGGTTTACAGCAAAAATGTTCTATGGATGCCACAATCCAATTCCTATGTAGAATTACTCGGTGATTCCGAAAATAGTTTTTTTTTCTATGGATACGTTTTCGAGATATTTTCAATTTACCGTTATTCAGCTTAAAGCAAAAATTGGTGGATTAAAAAAAAAAATAAACTTTAACAGACGAAAAATGTAAAAAATTACAGGTTCTGTGCCAAATTTGTGCATTCTGTTACAAAAAAATATAATTACTAATGAAGAATATTGATGGATAAATACGCCACGTACACCTAAGTAAGACGCTTTTCTGCTCATATTTTATACAAAAAATCTTTGCGCATTTTCATTTGACCACTCATTATTTCGTATTTATCCATCGATTTTCTTCATCGGTAACTTGATTTTTTTTTGTAACAGAACAGGCTTTGGTACAAATGCAAAAATTTGCCACAGAACCTGTTATTATTTCAATTTTTCTTCTGATACAATTTAATTTTTTCCCATTTTTTCATTATAAAAAAAAAAATAAAAACAACTGGAACGATTAATTAATTTGTAAGAAACTATCAGTTCTATCAAAAAGTGACGTATATGAGCCATTCTTTTTAAAGTCGGACGGATTTCGTAAAAAAAAATTATGTAATGGCTCCGATTCGCTTTAAACATTTTTTTATGGGTTCTATACATGAAATAAGCTAACACGTGTTCGAGGATTTTTTTTTTCTTCGGAGATATGATCTGTCAAAGTTTGCATTTTTTCGTGATTCTGGCTACTCATGTACTTCTTCAAATCGTTATATCTCAGGTTCTGCTCATCGGAGAGACTTAATCTTAACGTCGTTTGGCCAGAAGGCTGCACAAACTTCCAAAAGCTAGTGCGCCTCTTGTTTTCACCAGTGGTGAGGTAAGGGTAGCCATCGGGAAGGCGAAAGCCTCCAAAGCCATTGGTCCCGACGGAATATGCATGTTGATGCTGAAAAATTTGGGTACTGCGGGAGTACGTACCTAACGGAGGCCCTCAATTTGTCAATGGCCACTCTCGTCATTCCAGACATCATGACGATGGTGGGAGTGGTCCCACTGCTCAAACCGGTTTTCGAGATATCCGGATGAAATTTGGTAAGTGGGTGTATTTTTATATTGTATTAATCATTTGTCGGAACCGGAAGAATCGGAACACTTTAACATATGGCTCCCATACAACTGATTGTTCAGATCTGAGATTTTTCGTTATAACTTCTCCAGTTATGCAGCTAGGAACATGAAATTTTGCAATACTTGCACCCATTATCAGCAAAATACTTACAGTGAAAATTACAAAGACCGGGTCACTATAACCTATAGCTCTCATACAACTGATTGTTCAGATGTAAGATTTTTCGTTATAACTCCTCCATTTATATAGCTAGGAACATGAAATTTCGCACTGTTTTTGATAATTATCAATAGAAAACTTACAGTGAAAATTACAAAGATCGGGTCCCATATAGCTCCCATAACACTGATTGTTCAGATGTAAGATTTTTTTTTATAACTCCTCCATTTATGTAGCTATGAACAAGAAATTTCGCACTCTTTTCACTCATTCCTCTTGTTAAAGAAAATACCAGACCTCGTTACTCGTTGTGGTTTAACTCGGAGCTAAAGCATTTAAAAAATCAAAAAACTAAATCATTAAACTTTATAAAAAATCAGGCCCGTCTTCCCACTACGTCGCGTACTCCATCCCTCGTCATAAATACAATGCCTTAAACAGAAAATGATACAGGAATTACATTAATAAAACTCGCATAAACATCGTTTCTAATCCCAAGTCATTTTAACATTTTGTTAACTCAAAACGAAAAATAAATGGGTTGGCACCCTGAAATTGTGCATATGGAAACTGTGCATACGAAATAATGCATATGAAAAAAAAACCGAAATAATGCATACGAAAAAAACCGAAATAATGCATATATGCACAGTTTCGGTTGAAAACCGAAATAATGCATATGAAAAAAACCGAAATAATGCATATATGCACAGTTTCGGTTGAAAACCGCAATAATGCATATTAGAAAAACCGAAATTATGCATATGCACTCTTTCGTTTGAAAACCGAAATAATGCATATGAAAAAAACCGAAATAATGCATATATGCACACTTTCGTTTGAAAACCGAAATAACGCATATGAGAAAAACGAAGTAATGCATACATGCACAGTTTCGGTTCAAAACCGAAATAATGCATATGACAAAAACCGAAGTAATGCATACATGCACAGTTTCGACTCAAAACCGAAGTAATGCATATGACAAAAACCGAAATAGTGCATACATGAAAACGAACTTCTTTCAGAGTGGGCGGCCTTCGGCCGCGCTTAGGGATTATAACCCTTACTAAGTAGAATTCTCCTTTCTGCGTTGCCGGAAAAGGGGGCCGGAAGTATTTTTGCGCAGAACTTTTTCTGCGTAGGCGGCCTTCAGCCGCGCTTAGGGATTAAATCCCTTACTAAGTAGAAGTAAATAATTCATATTAGAAAAAACGAAATTACCCATATGCACACTTTCGTTAGAAAACCGAAATAATGCATATAACAAAAACCGAA